TTAGACCACTGAGCCATCTCTCCAGCCCCTATTGTTTGTTTTTATAAATATGTAATATTCTTGTGTATCTCTAAACTCTCCAACAAGAGAGTAAGGTAAAACAAAACAAAACAAAACAGCAGCCACATGGGGTTTACCATCTTTTAAGAAGTTTCATGAGGGGCTGGGGAGATGGCTCAGTCTGAGTTCAATCCCCGGTTCCAAAAAAAAGAAGTTTCATGATATTCCTGGGGCAACCTTTCTTCAAGATTCTAGAAATAAGGGCCGGTGGTATAGCTCAGCAAACTAAGCACTTGCTTAGGTAAGTGCAGGGGCCAAGGTTTGATCCCTGGTACCACAAGCTCCAAGGGCCCTGCCCCCAGGCATGCTGAGCAAGGATGGAGTGCATACTTGTTATCCCAGTACTAGGGAGGCAGAAATCAGGAGGATCACTATGAGTCTAAGCTGCGTAGTGAGACCCTGCACAAAACAACACCACCACCTTAAAGATTCTAGAAATATTGTATTTTCTTGGCACCCCAAATATTCCTTTGCAGAAGAGATGGTGTGTGTTGTGTGTGTGTGTTTTTTTCCAGAACTTGGGTATTGAACTCAGGCCCTTGCACTTGCTAGGCAAGCACTTACTCTACTGAGACATCTCCCCTGTCCAGGATGGTGTTTATCCTATTGGATCTCCTATTGGATCATATATACTAAATCATGAACTTCAATGTTACTTACCAAAACCTTCAGTGGATACAAATAAACTATATTATAAATACAGAACATCTAGAAAACAAATTCAACCCTAAGTAAGCATTGAATGTAGATTTCCACAACAGTTTCATGTTTTCCTAAAGCCTGATTAATCAAACAGTGGCTCAAGCCCCATCTCACTGTTCTCAAAGGTTACAGATTATTCTTTTTCCTAGATATGTGTTATTACAAATTTAAAAAATCTTATGTGTTGATACTACTTAAAATGAGGAAGTAGAGGGCTAGACAGATAGCTCAGTAGAATAAGTGCTTGCCTGGCAAGCACGGGGTCCTGAGATCAATACCCAGTACCCAGTACCGCAAAAAAAAGAAAAAAAAGAAAAATTGCTATAAGGGGCTGAGGAGACAACTCAGTTGAATAATCACTTGCCTGGCAAGTACAAGGGCCTGAGTTCAATCTCCGGTTCCACCAAAAAAAAATTAAAAATAAATAAATAAATAAAATAAAATTGCTATAATCCAACTACTTAAGTGGAAGGACCCCAATTTTGAGGCCCACCTATG